GGTCATTCCTATTGGGTGATTGATCGCAATCACGACGCGATCATATTTTTGAACAAAGCAGTTGAGCTTGATCCCGAGGATGTTTGGACACTTCGAACTCGAGGAATTGTTCACCGTTCCTTGAATAACTATGATGAATCGATCAAAGATTTTAATTCGGCATTGAAACTGGATCCCGACAATCCAAACACACTGACACAACGCGCAATTACTTATGGAGATTCATTGAGATTCGATGATGCACTGGTTGGCTTTCATCAAGCTTTGGAATTACAACCAGAGAATACATTCATCCTAGAGAGACAAGGGGAAATCTACCGCCGCATGGGATGTTATCAAAAGGCATTAGAGTGCCTTCAGAAGGCATTGAAATTGGAACCAAACAATGTAAATATACTTCGCATACAAGGATCAACTTATTATGCACTTGGCAGCTACAAAGAGGGACTTGCCGATATGGATAGGGTGATAGAGCTAGGCGGCGATGATTATTTCACCCAAGGTTACCGTGGGGCAATATACCGTGCATTAGGGTACTATTCAGATGCACTTGTTGAACTAGATAAGTCAATCAATTCCCGAAACATTGAAAGTTTTACGCTTGGTGAGCGTGGAGCGGTTTACAGTCGTCTCGGGCGACCCCTAGAAGCACTAAAAGATTTTGACAATGCATTTAAGATAGAAGTACATCACGCATTGGACAAGCATGAGCGTAGCGTTGCCTACCTCGAACGAGCACTGCTTTACAAAACGTTGGGATTCTATGATGACTCGATATCAGATCTCAACAAGGCATTGGATCTTAATCCCTACAATTCCTTGGCTATCGAAGAACGAGATAAAGTATTCGAAATCTACAAAAGACTTCTGATCCGAGCGTAGTTATGCTGAATGTGTTGGAATTTACAATTACTTGACGGCTTGTATGTAGTTATGATCATAATTCGTTAATTGAGGCTTACACAAATTATTAGGATGTAAGTGTAAATTTTAGGATAATTTTTTTTTATTCGGAGTCGATACCTGAATCTTCAAACGACAATTCATCGATCGCTGTGAGTATGAAGTTTTTCAAAATTCGGTTTTAAAAGCGACAACGAAAGGGCCATGACAGTTTAACTTCAAGAATCTTTTGATCGATTTCATCGTTACTTATTAATATATTGTGTGCAAATTATCGGATGGTGGGTAAAATTATTGATGTTTTTTTTTTTTTTTTTATTCATTATAAATTCCATTGACTTTTGTGGTATACTAACGTTATTTAATTTTTAAGTTCTATTTCTAAAATTCAATGCGATCGATATATTCTTATATGACACAACTAATCTCTCTTTCTGCAACCTACTAATAACAAATTATTGAATTATTAGAATGTAAGTACGATCAGTTTTACTCCAGTGAAGTTATTATGATGACGCCTCTCTGATCAGCTTTGTTATATGTTCCAAACACCAGTTGGCGAGCATGAAGTCTTACAATTACTCATTTTTGGAATCAATGTATTATTATGTTAATGTTTAAGCGATAATTCTTTATTCGATGTATCGTTGCGTATTCTGACTTAAATTATTGGGGCGTGAGTATCAACTTTACACCGCATTTTTTTTTTTTTAAAAAAAAAAGGGAAGTTTGATGCTTCATTGTAATCCGCCAAATGATTCTAATCTTTTTAACGTGAGCACACACGCGTGCCCGAAACGTTACGTCGTAAGTTTTATCGATTTACTATATATCAATATGTAGCATCATTTTATAAATATTTTTGTAAAATATTTTAAGAGATAATTAGAGACTACAATTGCCATTTATGAAATAAAGATTATATTTAACCATGTGTAATATAGAGCATATTAAAGACAAGTTGCGCGTCGTGCAGGGCATAATGATGCCGTTGTTGTTTTTTTAAAAAGATTTTCATCATTATTATTATTATTTAAATCGATATATTACAATTTATGAAAAGATAAAATAATGGAAAGATGAAATATAATAAGTTAGGTATATTCATTTTTTTTTAAAAAATATCAACCATTCGATTATTATCATTATATTAATGAAATATATTATCGAAATGAATATTAATAATAAAAAAAATTTATTTAATTATCGAATTTAAAAAAGATTGCTTAAGAATACAAAAAATCCTTATATGTAGCATGCGAAGTGAGTTTGTCACCGGTGTAATCTCTTGCGATACTGGATCATAAATATTTACACACTTCACTATCGTAAATTTGTTCAACCAAAGAATGAATTACTCACTTTCCATTATTCTCGTTAACCACATTTGCACTCTTTAAATCAAATATTGTCAAGGAAAGTATACGCGTATCCGGTTTAAAATATTATGCAGTAAATACGTAGTGTTAATGATTCAAAAGTTAAAGGCACAGTGTTTGGCAAGAAAATCTTTAATGCTACTTTAATGTTATGCAATGTGTGTGCTTTAATTTATTATTATTCTACTATGATTATTACTGTACTTTCCATTTTTAAGACTGTGTGTGTTATTAATTGCAATATACGTACTATAATTGACATGAGATTGTTTGACCATTAAAAGATAAATACGTATTCCGGTATTGCAGTATGTGTATACCACAGCGATGCGGGAAAAGAAGAAAAAACTGAACGAATATTACAGTAGTTCTTTGTCAAATTGAAAGATTGAAAATAACAAAACTACTTTTAGAACGGAAGTAACCTAATAACAACTATAACTCCAATAGTCCTCTTCGCTGTCATAAGCGGATCCTCCATAATATCTATTGAACACCCTTCTTTTTCTTACGGCACTTTGCCTATTGATTTTCCACTTCTCAATTCTGGCCTTTTGCTTAGGGGTGATTACGGGGTTGGTCAAAGCTATGTTGGCGATAGACTGAAACTCATCATTGGTAAAACGAATTGTTTCGGCAGCAACATAACTAATACATCGGAACAATTCCTCTTTAGTGTATGTTTCATCTAAAAATGAGAGTTTAAGTTCTTCAGTTAGTTGGCCATCCGATAGTACACGCTTGAATTCATCTAACTTTCTTAGCCTCAATTTTCCTAGAAGGCGGCTCATTGCTATCGCAGTGTACTGAATTAAAAAAAGGGTAAGTTGTGTGTAGTGACTACGGAGATTCACGTACTGTATTACTTTTTCCCCTTTTAACTCATTACTGTTTCACAAACAGTCATTGTTTTCATAACTGATAAATGAATCCCTAATTACGTACGTACTGTAGTAATGGTTTACTGTACAGTAATAAATTTATCTAATTTGTTGACGTGCCGGTGAGTCAACGTTACGTCCACTCCCGATGCGTGATTCAATTTACTGTATTTACCCCGGTGATCATGTCAATTAAGCTCAGACGCTTTCTTGATACGCTATCGCGTCACGCGTCTTCCTCATTGCCATATGCTGTAAACAACTTTTTATCTTACTCATGAACGTGGTTTGACCGTAACAGCATTAATCAACAATGAATTTTGTTTACGCAATACGTAGCCTTTCTTGTTTTTATGTAAATTTTCGTAAAATATAGAATTAATGGTAATTTACATTAATTAAGATAATAAGTTTTTACAAGTAATCTATTAGAATTGACCATTTTTTCTATAAATACACAGTGTAAGACAAAAATCTTAATCATCTATGTGTCTACTCGGTTATAATCTCTTCGTCATTCTTCCGCTTTTCGTCTTTCTCGTTTTCGGAGTCAAAATGCCTGAACGACCAATACATGAGACATCCGACGATAAATGCTAAAGCCCCCAGGGATGAATACATGATCACGAGATATGGATCCTTGGAAATTGGTACAAATGCAAATCCTGCATCGCGAATTGCAAGTAAAGAAATCATTAGATGTATGGTCGCCGTACGAAAAAGAGCGACATGATTAATGTTACCTAGTAGATTTCCTAGTCCAATGGTTAACAGGTAAATAGCCGTCAACGTGGATTCTAATGCATCAGGGGCCTATCGTCAAACAAAACGTCAAAGATTTCAATAATTCTATTCTTCTCTTTAGCGGAAGATAGACCGAAACATACATACCATCTGGTAAGCATAAGTCAGAGCTGAAATACTTAGTAGCACTGGACAATTAATTAACAAGATTAACCATGGAATGTGTTTTTCGTGTTGGTTGAAATTGTACGAAGATTAAAAAAAAAAGAAAAAAAAAATACACCTTCGGAAGTTCCGACCAAAATATAGGATGGAGTTTGCATCCACACGGAAATCAGTTTTGGCGATGCATCATAAATAGCATGTTGAACATACGCCGAGTAAAACATGGCAACGGAAATAAGCATGAACCCTAAAAAGAATCTAGCCATGTACCCAAATCTCACATTACATCTCCGTAAAGTTGGATACCTGTTGACACACTCATTTGAACCAATGTCAAATTATAACGGACATCGCTCAAACTTTAATGAAACCGAGTACTCACAGGACGTTATTGGCCAGTGGCGTCAATATAATCAAGGTCACGGTGTCGAAGTTATACATTATGTCGTTGGGTATGGAACCAACATCCATGGTGGCGGCCTGTGATATTAAATTATTGTAGATCTGTGCATAGCAGACCCAGTAAAATGGAAAAAATGAGAAAACTTTTATGGCTTGCAGCCCTATTCTGGACTGTTCCACGAATTCATCGCCCCATGTAACTTTTCTCCTTTTCAATTGTTCTTCCGTCATATTCGAAGGTTTTGCGTTCTCCAAATTTTTTTGATTCACGAGAGCTATCCAAAGCACATGGACAAAGTCAAATAGCACAGAACCTTGGGGCTCCTTCTTGACGTATTTATCCTGACCGAGGACTAATACGGTGATGGCAAAGAGAAATATTATGAGAGGTATGAGATAAGCCAACCAGAATGAATGATATTTCTCAACGTAAGTGGTAATAAGGACCGAAAGGGATCCAATGTTGATAGCCAAGTAATAGTAATGGATGATTGACTGTATGGTAATGTCTGGATCGACGATTACCCTTTCACCAGAACTCAAGGTCCTAACGAATGCTCGAGTTTTCGTGTATTGATCAGCCGACATCGGTGATACGTTTGGCTTAATCCCTCCGGTTCCTAGCCCAATTATTATCATGGCCACCAACAATCCTGGCAAAGAAAGTTTGGCTGCTATGGCCGGAGGAATTGCCGTCACCGTCAATACGGCCAATCCAACCACGTAGACAAAAGAAAATATTAAGATGGTCTTATATCTCCCTAGATATTTATCGGCCACGATTGCACCCATGATCGGCGTCGTATAACAGAAGAATTGGAAAAACAGCGACAACGATGTCGCCACTTGTTGTCCCGCTCCAATTGCACCAGGCTGTCCATCTTCTTCCGTTGGCACCGGGAATTGTATGTAATTCTGGAATGGTCCGGAGACACCGTAAAAGGTAAATCTTTCACACAATTCACAAGTTATTATGAACCACACAACTAAAAAAAAAACAGATCGATTATTTCCACGATTGCCGAACACTTATGTGAGACAAAAAGTGCGATCATCCTACCGACAGGAATCTGATCCGAAACCTTGCGAAGCACACTCAAATCTTGTAGAGTCGGGTAAACTTCGTCAACACTAGATTCGTCTTTGGCCGTCAATGATTCCTTTTCATTTTTATCCATATTCAAAGAAAACAGTCAAAGAAATTTGACTCATTTACAGGACATTCATTCATCATAAATATTTCGCGCGCAGCAATTATCTTCAAACACAGCCAACGATAATGACGACACAGCCATCGCAAAGCCTTGGATACATACTGTATATACGCACATTTGGTGTTGTTATTTGAAAGATGGCTTGCGAACAGAACGAATAGATAGCGTAGAGGTGATGGTTATTGCGCGAAAATTTTATTGTTATACGGTGGTGTCACACATGTGTCAGGCTAATTACGATTCCGTAGAGCAAAACCTCGAGGAATATTCGCGGCAATTCGTCAAATAATTTACCTTTAATAAATTATTCGGTAAAAGAAAAAAAAAAAAAAATAGATTGTATTTTGGAACACGTTCTTGGTTAAAAAAACAAAAAAAAAAAAGTTACTGTATCAAAATAATTTAAGGACATTAATGTAATTCGAATAATTAGAAATAGAACCAATACAGTATACAGTATACGTCGTAGATACTGTATATGAATGATGGATTTCATTCTACTTATTTAAATTCATGAAATTCTTTAAACAAATGCAGTGCATTAGCGAGAATACTTTCGAATTGAGTGTGTTTATTATATATATCGTATATTGTCAGTTAATAAATAAGTACACAGAAATAAGTACTATACTATACAATGTTAAATGTTAAACCATGATCATTATTTAATAGCATTAATTCATAGGAATTTTTTCTTTTCTTTTTTTCGTTATCTTGTTTACCAGTGTTAAAGACATTCGAAAGAATACGTATCTTCATTCATCATCAGACATGTCGATTTCAAGTTCTGATATCTTGAGTTCGGAATGATCTTCAACTGGAATTTCCGAGCTTGAGGAAACGTTCACGTGAATAAACACACTGTGTTGATTATAACTAGGACTCAATACTTGCAATAGTGGTTCTTTCAATTGGTGTTTTTCACCTCGCGCAAACTCCTCAGCTATATCGGAATCAGGAGAAAATAGGCATTGATTCAACCAAGTCCCTATGGTAGAATAGAGTTCCCATGCACTGGGTCTCTTCTCTCTATCTCCATCCCAGCACCTTTTCATCAAATTCACGTATGATTTTGGTGTATTTGGAATTATTTCGGGTCGCCGACCTGAGAAAATTTCCAATGCCAAACTGGTGCCATGCTCCTTATCACCAAAAGATTTCGCGCCTGAGACTATTTCCCACATCAACATTCCAAAACTGTATACATCAGCAGCTTGGGTGTAAGGTTGACCTCGCAAAACCTCGGGTGCCACATAAGGCATAACGCCAAAAATTGTGCCATCATGTTTTAATGGTGGGGTTGCCTGTCCCAAATCACCTATTACGCATCTATAATCGTCGCGATTTTCTTTTTCGTTCTTGTACCTCATACACATCACGTTTCCGCTGTGCAAGTCACGGTGAACAAGACCAGACTTATGGATTTGAATAAGACCGGAGGCAATGTCGTAGAGAAGCTCGAGCCGTTTTATGTATGTGAGAGATGAGAAATTGGATTTAAGGTAGGCCCCAAGATCGCCTTCGTCTGCTAATACCATCACTATCATGTATGCTTTTTGTTCAGGATCATAGCTCATACCAAAGGTTCGCAAAGTGTTGATGCGCCCTGACACTTGTGTATTTGCTTTCATATGAAGCAGAAGCTGTTTATGTTTTTGATGAGAATATTTATTATTTATTCGATGAGTTCATAATAATTGACGAAAAGTAGTACGTACCTCCTGAAATAAATCGCCAGTGACATCCTCCTCTTTCAACTTGATTAGACTCTTGAGGGCCACTTTAACGTTCGGATATCGCTCCCACGTGGATTTTTCCGCATTCCACTTTGTCCTTGGGCCTTCAATCCACCTTGCCGAGAATACCTCGCCAAATCCACCACTACCAATACGTTCGATTTCGGTCAATTGATCGAAAGGAATCCATTCTAAAAAGTTGAATCTTGTAGTCGCCGAAAGTTGAGTCTCCCGAATAAATGCGTCAATGTGCTCATTGCCACTTGTCCAACTCGAAAAATTTGATTGAAAGAGCTCTCGGTCGCATTTTTCGCACCATTCTTCACCAACTTTTTTGCGTCCACACTCATGTTCATTATTTTTATTGCTTTCGACCTCAATTTCTTGTTCATTATTTTTATTACTTTCGACTTTAATTTCTTGCTCATTATTTTTATTGCTTTCGACTTTAATTTCTTGTTGTTCATTATTTTTATTGCTTTCGACTTTAATTTCTTGTTGTTCATTATTTTTATTGCTTTCGACTTTAATTTCTTGTTGTTCATTATTTTTATTGCTTTCGACTTTAATCTCTTGTTGTTCATTATTTTTATTGCTTTCGACTTTAATCTCTTGTTGTTCATTATTTTTATTGCTTTCGACTTTAAT